GTAAGGACAAGGACTGTGTCATGTGCAGTAAGGACAAGGACTGTGTCATGTGCAGTAAGGACAAGGACTGTCATGCGCAGAATCGCAGGCTCAGCTCAAGACATTACTTACAGCAGGTCCAGTTGGTAGTTTAGGTGCAACTTTCCTGAAATTGATAGGGGAAAAACAATAAACAAAGTAACTAAAACTTATTTCCTCTCGCAACAACAGTAACAACCCAACAATCGTTCAACAGAAAGCCAAGGTGAAAGAATGTGAAGTGACGGGAAGGGTTTACTTACTTTCCTTCTTTAATGGCCAACTCGTTCTCTGCTTCTGCAGTCTGAAGCTCGTTACGTAGTTTGTTAAGCTGTAAACCAATCAAACAGTAAAATTTAGCATTTCAACCAATAGAAAATATTTATCAAGCATTATGATAAAAAAAACTTTTAAAACCCATTATTTTGTATTCACTCTTAATTCACTTCTAATCTACAAAGCTTTGTCGTATCACAGCGTGGGACAATCACAACAGAGCTAGGCTCAATATTAAGTGAAAGCCTAAAGATCGAATTAGAATTTAGAAGTTGATTTCTGAGGAGGGAGGAAAACCGGAGGACCCGGAGGAAAACCGGAGGACCCGGAGGAAAACCGGAGGACCCGGAGGAAAACCGGAGGACCCGGAGGAAAACCCTCGAAGCAACTCTACTCACATACGACATCGAGATTGGCAGGACTCGAACTCGGGCCGCATTGGTGAGAGGCGGCGCATTAGCAGCGCACGCCACCAGTGCTTCCACACTCACTCTTCGTGATATCCACGTTATCTACTTGCCTCATTTTCATTCTTCTTAAGCTTTTCATCGATTTCTCGTTTTTGTTTGTTAAGTTGGTTGTTGTTCTCCTCAGCCTTGCGGACTTGTGTTCGTAACGAACGCACTTTAAGGTCAAGTTCGTCCAACTCTTGGGCTGATACTGCTACCATCTGTCCCTTAGCTTCACGCTGCTCCACGATTCGACGGAATTCTTCCGCAAGACCCTCCAAAATAGAGGCTAAAGGAAGATAAGAAGGAAAGTGAAAATGCTAAGAAACAGGAACATCACAGCTCAAATCAACCCTTACTAATTCAAACTGGTAAAGGGTTGTGCCCCGGGGTCATACATGGAGCGTATAGCGGCTGCCAGAGACGCCTTCGCATGGTCTCATTTGAACCCCGTCAAGCTGCACCACTGCTGTACTTGCGGTGGTGATTAGTGATGACCAGTTTTTGTTTGTTTGTTTGTTTTTGGGAAAAAAGAAGGAGTCTCCATCTGTTTTCGCTCTCACGTTACGTCATAGCAGCCATGTTGATGCCATTTAACATAAGATTTTTCCTATTAGTATCCATTGTTAACCGTACCAAGATTGCCGCAATGTTTTTGTCTTTGCGGACTCTCTTGGGAATCTTGCAATTAGTTGATTTGATTTATTTATTTATTATTACCTTTCTTCTGCGGAGACATCGTTTCGAAGATTGTGTCTTCTTTTTCTTCCTCTTCATCGTCGTTTTCTTCATCTGCAAACCACACAGTATGTTTAGATTAACACACTTCGCCTTACACATCAATACTCTCGCACCCGCTGGACTTCATACTCTTCAAGGATCAAGCGGACGCTATATTATTAAATTATTGGTAAATAGCTAATAATAAATGAAGTAACATCAATACAGCAATGCAGAAGATTTCAATCTTAGTCGTGCTCGTGTTAAATATCCATTAATTAAATAATTAATAATCATAAAATATTATCATATTATTACAATTTTGATGTTACAAGTATTGTCGTAAGAATAACTAGAGTAATTCTCAGCTAATCAAACTTCCTCTTCGTTTAAGGTTTAACAAGTTTTGCTCTTGGATAAATCTGTTTTGTTTCTGGTTAAACCTGCTTTGCTTTTTCGGCTTAAGCCTTGGTTAAACGCAAGGATGTGTTGTGCGTATGTGGATAAGTGTATAATAAATATTGGCAGACGTTTGTACCTCGGTGATAACCACGCCGTGAGTTGTATGAACGTTCTGCGTCTGCTGTTAAAGTATTAGTAGCATTAGCTGGGAACAGATGACTGATATATGACAGGGAATAGTCTAGCATTAATGGCGCAGAGTAAATGGAAGAAAATGTAATAAAAATGGGAAAAAGGAAGGAAAAAAGAAAGAGAAAAATAATAATAAAGGGAAAAATGGGAAAGGGAGAGAATGGAAATGAATAGAAGGTGAATGTACCTTTCTGTCTTCTGCGTCGATCGTTCTCTTCCTCTTCTGACATATGATGAAATGATGATACGTTATCATTGGACGTTGACATGGGAACGCATGCGTATTGAGTGCACGTTACCATAGCAATTGATACGTAATAGATGAAGGTAACCATGACAACTGATACGTAAATATTAAACAATACACGTGCAAAGCCGAAACAAATGACACAATGCTCGAACAATAGAATACCAGTGAATAAAGATGTATTCAATATCACGTGACAATAAGATTAAGAAAAGAATAAGAATGTAGTTTGTATAAAAAGAACAAGAAAGAGTAGGAATACCTTGTCTACGTCGACTTCTTTCCTCAGCTTCCTGCTCCTCTGTAACAAAATGACATTAAAACGATTGGATGACTTAAATAGCAATACTGAAGGTGGATGGAATTCCTTGATACCCATATAATGACGTCACCTCTAGATATGATGACGTCACCACAAGATATGATGACGTCACCACGAGATACGATGACGTCACCCCAAGATATGACGACGTCACAACAAGATACGATGACGTCACCACATGATATCATGACGTCACCACAAGATATAATGACGTAACCAATGACGTCATAAACAATAACAAAAAGTTTGGCTTGGGCACCATGCGGGGACGTCATTTCCTGTCAAGGTAACATCTGTCCCAATGCCTGTCAGTACTGAGATAAGTTTTTTAGAGCATTAACAAGACAGAATAATAAAAGAGAATTATAGAAAAGTTAGTTATTCTAATAATATTGATTGTTGGATTTTCCCTTCAACTAAATAACTTTTATCTATGTTTAGTTGTTACAAGTCAAACGGGACAAAGAATGAAGAGACGAGAGTGGAGAGAATGTTTTACCTCTTCTTCGACGTTCTCGTTCCCGTTCCCTCTCTTCTTTTTCTCGTGCTTCTGCCTCTTCGCGTTCTTTAGTAAGTGAAACGAGTATGTGAGTATGAAGCGAAATGTTATCATGTCTGTAGGGGACTGGCCGTAAAATAACAAGGTATTCAGGTTAGAAGTAAGAAATATTCTTTCCCATCGACCGTCAAACAACTTCTGGGCCGATCTATAGACTGATCTATATCAGGGCACGGCTAACTAACGGCTAAGATAGAAACCTGAAACAACCTTTAGGGCTGATCTATATCATGGCACGGCTCAAAGATCAATTTGGAATTACGTATGTAAATCTAGTATTTTTTCATGCCCTAATCATTGCTGGGATTCTACCTTTTTGACCTCTCCCCCCCCCCCCCCCCCCCCCCCCCCGGCATTAAATTAAGACCAGTTCCCAACTCTTATACTGATACTAATGAACAAATGATTGATCTCTTAAAGACAGATATAAAAAAAAGATGATAACGATGTGCGCAAGTGTACCTCTCTCTTGGCGTTGCCTTTCTGCTTTTACCTCTTCCTCCTGCTGTTGTTCTGTCATGATGGATATGTGTAAGATACGTGTATAATGTTGTATAGAATACATGAAGGGCACAGGGGTGGGCTGGATGTGATGTAATGAACGACGAAAGACACGCAAATTAACGTGATGGTGAGCGTAAATACAACATGTCGTGACAGACGAGGCGCATTCCTGGCTTTAAATACTGGCCTAATGACCCGTGTCTTAAGGAACCCATATAAGTAAATGAATCTAAACTGTCGAGTGTGGTGCTGACCTTGCCCTCTAAGATGGAGATCATTCTTTTAACAGACTAACAAACGTCGTAAAACAAATCCTTTGAACGATAAGATCAGACAATAGACCGTTTTTTCAAGGTTGCGTGCGCATCCAACTTAACGGGCCACAAAACTGAGAAAATGCAAATTCAGTAAAATTCAGAAGACAGTTTTATATTTAAAGAGGAGAATAATCGATATTATGAATTCTTATCGAAAAACATTTCATAGCAATGCATGATAATACTCGTGTTCTGGTATCGTGGCCCGTCAAGTTCCTTAAATTTGGATGCGCACGCAACCTCGAGAAAACGATCTATAGATCGTACACTATCGGCATGATCGCTATGTTTATACTCTGTATATGCTAACGATATACTTGCGAGATGTCTTTTTGTACTCAAACTAATCAATTTGGTGCTACTGTCTTAAGCTTAAAACAAGGCATATACCTTTCCTGAGACCGACAAACAGGATGCATTGTGGTCTAGCTTGGGCAAATAACACCATATAAGGCATGCGCATAAAATAAAAATGTACCCAATCTAGACCATAATGCACCTTGTTCGCTATCTCGGGGTGGGCAAATAAATTCAGTACACATTAAAGAATTCTATAACTATATTATGACATTTAGAAAAGGCCGATAATATTGACGACAAGATTGTCCACTGAATACAGTCTACCGGTTGGGAATGAGGCTAACGAGGACTTAACACCAGCGAGCATGAATACAGTCTACCGGTTGGGAATGAGGCTAACGAGGACTTAACACCAGCGAGCATGCAGTATTCAGTATTCAATGGACAACCCTTCACTAAAACACGACCATGACATTCATCACGTGCCAGACATGTTTTCGTTGCTAAGGAAACGTAGAGCCTAATATGGTTACTAGTTATCAGTACCTCTCTCACGACGGCGACGAGCTGAAGCCCTGTCGTTTTCTGAATCTGTTAGTTGAAATGTTAACCAAGTATTTATGTATGAAGACCATTACAAGATAAGATAAGAAAAGAAGGGATTGATCCAAGATTTGATACTCTGATACTCCTCCATCGCTTCCGGGGGTCACCAGTGGGGGGGGAGGGAAAGGGTAGTGAAACTGATACAGGTTATTGCTTGAACTATGTTACCGCAGGGGGTGGGGGTCAGGAGAATTGTTATAGCTGATCAATACAGGGGGAGGGGCTGGGATGATTGGTAGGTCTACTGGATGCATTAGAGTGAATGGGATCCCTGTGTTGTCAGAGCACCAGGTGTTGGCGAGAGAGACATTTACAAATGAATAAATGAAAAGTAAAAATACCTCTCTCTGAACGAGTTAGAGTAGACTCATCAGACTCTGTTTTAAAAATTATTAATAGTTATTGTTATTAATTATTATTAGAAGCAAAAGAAAGTACAAGGAAATAATTGAGATGTGAAGCAACGATAAGTCGCCTCTATGACAAGCAAATATAATTTAACACAAAGATCGATAACTCTACGACAGTAACGAAGACTACACGACGCAGATCAATAATCATACGGGTCAGATCGATACACCATCGTCAGGTCGGGAAGTCCTTACCTTCTTTTCTGCGGCGGCGTGATCGCGCGCTTTCATCATCAGCTGTCGATTCAGCTTCGCGCTCTTTTCGTCTGGCCTCGCGTTCCCTTCGTCTTGCCTCACGTCTCGCAGCAGCATCGTCCTATAAACGTAACGATCAACCTCATTAAAAACTCATTAATTAAACCAATCTTTACAGGAACAAAAAACGTCATCAATCATCTTTTTTCCTTTGTTTCAAATGCTTTCGTTACTTGAATACTGAGAACAGACCCGGTAATCTAACAGTACCCTTTTGCGACCACAACGGGGCTTCATTGATCACTCAGCATGTATACTCCGCTTTCCCCGGGTTAGCTCTTCACCATGTACATATTGTACGCAAATATTCCAAGCGTTAAATCGAATGTTTTCGTTACTATGGGAACTTTTGCTATCTGATATAAAATCAACACGACTCTTAGATACGAATTCCTATACAAATGAAAGAATTTGTGTTGAATTGTTTGATTCGTGAAGGATTTTGCTACGACGTCATTGAAGATTGTTAAGTACGTTTTAGAGCGGATACTACTTTATTATGTGTAATGTTATCCTAGTAGCGTGACCTCACACAGCACCAAGCCATTTCTATCAATGTTGTTTCTACTATAATACAAGTGCGGGAACGATAAATGCGATATAGGATATAATGCGCAACAAAACGAAGAAATTTAAAAACACGAGAAAGAAATAGGAAGAGAAAAAGAAATTCTATTTTAACATGAACAAAACAGTAAATCTATGATACAGTATTCCTATAATACTATGAATGATTACCATATTATGTTACAGAATTCCTCAAATAAACGGAATTTTATTTATCCTACGCTCCACAGAAAAGGGCTTAAAAAAAGAGCTGAAATGGCTTCACTTAGAAGAGATTAAGGAGACAACACTATAGAGATGATAAAAAGATAAAAGGAACCCTGCCTACTGAGATGCATTTGTCACGCTCATGCTGTACAATATCTCTCTGTTAAAACGTGGACATCAATCTGGATTAAAAAAGCTACTCTGCGACTTACAAAAAACAGAAATCTTAAATGACTTGGCACTTAAACTTTTGAGACAGACGACCTGGTTTGGATCGGATCAATAGAAAAGTATTTTTAATGCAAGCAAATCTTGTCAGACATGTAAAGAACTGTAGCGTGAAATGTGAGATGTTATTCATTGAAGATTATTTGCGGTAAACAAATGATAACATCATCTTTTTTAAGAATTTTAGATTTTTAAGCAAAAAATCTTGATATCGAATCAAGAAGTCATCCTTACAAGGCAAATTACGGTAATAATGTCAAAAGGTTTGGATAGAGTAAGATACTGTAAAAATGCGCTAAAGAATGCGAGGAATGTAGCTGATGAACAGGGCGGGGTAAATGACCTCTGGGCTACTCGATACGGTCTGTGAGCAAAATAAAATGCCCTAATATAGTACCAAGCACTTTACTAACGTAAATGTAATGTCTTTTACAACAACACGAGTAAGGAACCTCTTACTAAAATAAATTTTACATTCGATTGTTTTCGTGTTGACCATGTTGATTATGTAGACAGGTTTGTAGTCTTTGTTTTTAAGTCATGCAATCTTCTTTCTTACAAAATAAGGATAATTTAATAAAATATGTACAAGACTAAAAACATAATCAAATATGTGGTAAAACAAGAGTGAATAGCAAAACCCGCAGTTCAAAATCTTAATCTTATGGATTCTTATAAAATATGTTATCGCAAACATAGTTAAAATGTATCGGTGTTCATTGAATATGCAACCAGCTAATTATACATTACAAACTGTTAACGATTTAATGTGAACTGTACGTTTGCTCGTATACAAATATCGAAACAATTACTCTAGCATGTCGAATAAAAATCTTAGTTAAATTTTTGAATCATTATCGCATACATTAGATGAACACAATATTAAAACATATCTCTGTCCCTGAACAATAGGTGACATTTAAATAAGAGAGTTCAAAGCTGAAACGTATGCACTAAATGTAGGTTTATGGAGAGCTAAAGTAAAAGCGAAACATTGCAGGAAGAGGGCTGTTTTGTAACCAAATTGGATGCAATGTCGGAGTTTTCTTCAGGTTAAATGTAGGAGCCCTGTAGCTTGGTAAAGAAGACAGGGTAATAATTTCTTTATTTTTGTACTTCTGTACAGATATTTTAAGGTATAAAAACCTCATTCCCCCCCATGAGAGGTTTGAAAGCTAATCAAGGTCTATGCATGTTGGAATCACAGAACAGACAAATCTCAAAATAACTAGCAAACACTGAACACAAGACCAGAACTGGATAACAGATATTTGTGATCTAGAAGGGTGTGTATGTCTGTAGTATGAAAGTCAACAGCTATCAAAATTTAAACCAAAATTCTGATAAACGGTACTCACGTCTCCCATATTTCTCTGTCTTAAAATAAATCAAGGATGAAGAGAGAGTTAACAAAGAAGTTGGCAATGTCCTTCAGCAAGAGAAAGGAGTTTACCAGTAGGCAGTGATTGAGGAGTGAGCAGAAGTAACTACTGTCCCTGTGTCCCAGTCAGTACATTCACCAAGGTCTTTTGGTATGTAAAGTATCTTGATATCAGGGCCATTCATAGGATCATCTTACATTAGACCCAGGACTCTTGGAGTGCTCTCTCAACTGTCAATCAATCCGTTACAGCCTAAAACATCTTTTATTCTCAGTATAATGTTATTAAACTTCTTGATAATGAAATTCATGCTTTCTGTTTACTGGTGTTAGGGGCTTTCTGTTGTAATATTGTAGTATAGTGAAGTATTTGTGGTCTTTGAGGCCACATTTGTAGCACACATTGTATACAGAGTGACTAGGTATTGATATGTAAATGACAGCAGAGTGGGGTGAGATTACAGCTTGTAACACGAGCATCATTTAACCATACTAACACACCATCACAATCTCAGCCAGACTCTAAAACCTTTAGGATCCACAGTTATCATGCTTTTGGCATGTTCAACATTTGTTCTTACTCCAATGGGAATTCCTTACTAAACTATGGAGAGAATATCTGCATAGATGACTGAAAAGATGCCATTTACAGAACAGATAGTTTGTATAACAATCATTCATAGACACTATAGGACTCATACTCTTGTACAGTGCAAGGATTACACACCCATTTCTACTCAATATGCATTCTTCACCCACACTTTTACCATCTCTGGTGTTTCTGTTCTCTAATGCTAGCTCTAAAACAATTGAAGAATTATTTTTAAGCATGGTAAGTAAAAAGCTTTAAAATAATATAATATAACCTAAATACATTATTACTAAGAAAATATTTGAAAACCTTTTATATAGGAATGCAAAACAGAAGATCAGCATCAATTATGGTGGAATGTATAATATTGTGCAATGCAACATCCAAATTTTCTCTCTTAAAGCATTTTCAATCTAGTTCAAACACTTACTAAAAAACTCATTAACATTGATGCCTTGAAGTATAGAATTATCAAGGAATAGAGGAAGAGCTAGACACTGTGTTCTCATGTAGGATTCAAGGCAATCATCTCGCATTGAATCAATTTTTTAAAGTATGACAGCTGCTACTATTTCTATGTCAAGAACCTAACATCTTTTATATCAATAATAAATCGTGATAATATTTAAAATAAATAAACCTTAAATTGCTGTAGACAGTGTTAACAAGGATTATGTAAGTGATCTTATCATCACTTAGTTATATTTGTTATGAATAATATTGTGTAACATAAAGCGAATCATTTCTTTACTAATTCTTCCCAGGAGTACTTATTTTCTATAATAATTAATTGAGGTTATTATACCGTACGATTCCACTCACTCTATGTGAGCTGAGAGTGGTTGGTTCTCTTTCTGACTCAGAGGGTTTTTCCTTCCTCCCTCCTCTCTCTCAAATCAACCCTAACTAATTCAAGCTGGTTAGAGCTGTGCTCCAGGGTCATACATGGACAGAGGCGCCTTCACATGCTTTCAGTGTGACCCTGTTGAGCTGCTCCACAGCTGTACTTTGCAGTGGTGACTAGCGATGACAAGTTTTCTTTAATACAGTGTTTGTGATGGTGATGGTGATGGTGGCAGTGGACTGATACATGGTGGTGGTAGTGATGGTACTCTGTAATGATGATGATGATGGTGATGATACAATACAATACAATACAATAAACTTTATTTAAGGAGGGTGACACAATTAACCCAGAGAGATATCTAACACGCGGCCCTCACACTACTGAAACAATTCAAAATGATGGTGGTGATGGTGATGATGATGAAGATGGTGATGATGATGGTGATAATGATGATGACAGTGATGGTGATGGTGATGATGGTGATGATGATAATATATATGAGTGTTTACATCATGATGGTCATGGTGGTGGTGGACTGCTGATACATGGTAATGATGATGTAGATGATGGTGGTGATGATGATGATGGTGATGATGATAATATATATGAGTGTTTACATCATGATGGTCATGGTGGTGGTGGACTGCTGATAAATGGTAATGATGATGTAGATGATGGTGATAATGATGATGATAATTATTCTAATGATGTAATTGCTATTAGGGAAGCACAGGTGGTGTGTGCCACTAATTTGCCTCCTCTCAGATTTAATATCGTATGTGAGTAGAGTTGTTTGTTGATACTCTGCTATTCTTCGAGGGCTCTTCACTGGGATCTCCAGTTTTCCTTCTACAGTAAAATTCAATTACTAAATTCAATCCAGTGTTAAAAGCTTAAACTTGAGTCTCTGGCTCAGAAGACTGATAAATCAGTCTCTGCAGTTGGCATAAAATATATTTTACATTGTAGATATATAGAAAATTTTGATAAAATAAAATAAAATATACTTATAAAATTCTGAGCTCCAGATGGGAATCGATTCCCTGTGTCCATTCCATAATTAATGTTCTATATATCTATATCCTTATTATTCTATTTACATTATACCAGTAATATAAATCAAAGTGACATAGATTTTAGCAATAAATAGTTAGTGATATCAGCTTCACCATTAATCGTGATAGTGATAAATATATTTTAATATCATTATAGGATTACCCAGTAGTGTTTTATGGTGATTATAGATCAATATATATGTGCACTATTTCTAATACATATTTGATATAAATCAATTATATCAGACAAGACATATCTTTTTAGGTTAACTTATTTTAAGTATAGATCTTTTTARAATTTAGTTTTTTGATTAAATAGTTGTCTATTAGTTTTTTGATCATACTTGTAAACAGCGCTTTGAGCACAAGGAAAGGCCCTTTATAATTAATAAAGTTATTATATTTATTATTATTATTATTTTGCATTACATTTTAAAGACATATTTTCTATTCCACGAGATTTAAACAGATATCCTAAACAAACATCTACTAAAATAGGATGTTTATACCAGACATTCCTGTCTATTGAATATTTCAAATACTGGGACAATAATCAACTAATTCAAGACTAGCTACCTAATGAGTGGAATGGTGGACAATGTTAGCCCAAGGCTAGTGAAATTACTTTGATTGATTATTGTCAATATGTTTCACCTTGATATAGTATATTAATTTGATTATTGCCAATATGTTACACCTTGATATAGTATATTTGATTATTGGCAGTATGATACACCTTGATATAGTATAATTATTGAAGTTGTAAATAGATTGGGTTTGGGATACTGCAGTAACTTTAAAAGAAACTAATTAATGATTATGTTATTAATCTAGTATTTATCTTGTTTAAACGTTTCAAGGACACAATGTATTAAATTACAAAACTCTTTAACACAATAATTTTATAACTACAACAGTCATTTTGTCCATTACCAGGATTAACTAGGCTTAATTCTCGTTTAAACTTTTCAAGCGTTTGAATGTTTTTTTAGACCAATGATATAAGATTTTTTGCAAAGAAGAATTTGTTCAATCAATCATCATCATCACTATCACTATCATCATGATGATCACTATCAATCATCATCAATATCATCATCAATATCATCATCAACATCATCATCATCCCACCATCATCTTCACCACCATTATTATCATCATCATCCCACCATCATCTTCACCACCATTATTATCATCATCATCCCACCATCATCTTCACCACCATTATTATCATCATTATCATCACCATCATTATCACCATGTTCATTGCCAATCATGCTAATAAGTCAATTCTATTTAATGCTAAGATCACCAACTTATAATACAAACAAGCTTAGTGTGCTTTATATTTTTCTTATTATCTGATGTTAGTGTTGCAAAACTGCCCATAGAAAAAAAATATACATCTTGAATATTTTATATTTGAAATTACTATATATTTTATTATTTTAAATTTAATATCGTCATCTGAAAATAATGAAATTTGTAACGATTACCGTAGCAGTCACAAGGCTGTTAAAAGCATAGTTCATGATATTTATACAAATGCTGACGATTAAGACAAAAATTTAGTATACAACATTACCAGTACTATAAGAATGGTAAAATACAAAAACTTCTGCTTTAAAATGTAAAATATCATAAGGAAATTGGTTGATAAAGGCAAGAATTTAATGAAAGAAAAACAATCTAATTTGAAAAGCTTAACATATCTTGCTGTATTTGACATACTGTTTAGGCTTTAATGGCTCTGCCTGTGAGGTATTCTTTTTACAAACAACACCCCTGGATTATGTGTGATTAAAAATACTTTCCTTTATGACCGAAAAATTATTATAACCAAATTAAAAAATAAGTAACCATGAGTATCGATTAATTGATTAAAAATGAAATGGTTTTAAAAACTCGTGCCATAATGGCAATTATCCTGTGAAATGAGCAATCAAATGTACGCAAGATGGAAAACAATTACCAACCTCATCTACATTGGTACTTTCAAGCTCTTTAGCCAGTCTTTCACGTCTTTCTCTCCTTCTTCTCAGAGCTTCACTAACATCTGGTTTAAAATCACAAACAAGGTTGTTTTTACAGTGAGTTTAGCTGGTTTGTAGAAGATCATTTTGCAGGCCTCGATAATGTTTAAATATACAGGTACTTGATCATTTGGACTTAAATAATCTTTATTAACTCTTCGAATATCTTCATCATAATCAAACTCATTATTGTAAAGAATGAAATCAAGAGATCTTTGACATACAAGGTCATAAATATAACTATAAAAGATTCCTATCTAAGGTCAGATGTTTTGATGATTTCAATTAATTCAGTTTTAAATATTTCTTTAAGCAAACAAACTTTTCTAAAAAATTCAATCATTCCTACAGAACTCTCTTTATCAGCCCATACATACTTACCGTCAGACATACTAATGGTTATAAGTTTTCTTGAAGGGTTAAGAAGTTCTACAAGAAGCTATCTTGTGGTTTCGTAGAGAGAGGAAGGGTTGGTAATGTGTTGGTATGTTCAACAAGGAGTGACGCTTATGAATATATTAAATAGCAAGTCATTAATCATCAATAATGTCCTCTGATTGGCTGATAAATACTTTAGGTATTTAGAATTCAGGCTTGAAGAAAATAAATTTAGTTAATCTTTTGCTTGTTCTTTGTATTTTATGAATGAGTTTTCAATAAAAGAAATTGCAAAGAAGTTGATTTTTTGTTTTTCTGTTATTTGATAAACAAAGATTCTAACAATGGGCTCGACATATTTTACATTAATAATCCAAACCCTGGGAATCTGAAATAACTGATAAAACAAGAAGGTAAATAACGAAAAAGAGAGAGCAATGAAGGGAAAAAGTCTTGTGTCAAAGCATTCTTCAAGTTACTTGAAGTTGGTCAGTGAATCTTTTGTTTTATGAGTCATCCAAAAAAAGATTTTACCTGTTTTTGGTGGGTCCAAACCGTCGTCTTGATATCAAAGCAAATATCTAGTATAAAAAAAGTAACAAAATCATTTACAAAATAGGATTAAAATTGATTTTTTTTTTGGAGGAAGAAAAACAAACTGTACTTCCGTTGCAAACACTTGAGAACCGACTTGTTCGACAAGGTAAAACACAGGAAGCCCGAGCCGAGAAATGTCCCTCGAAGTCCACTGAGATTAGAGAGAGATAGAGTACGAGTAGATGAAACTTCCTTCTGGTTTAAGGTTCTAACCCTCGCAAGGCTATAATTCATGATAGCAACTCACATATTAACACATACTTACCTAAAAGGGTGTGGCGAGTTTTTCTCAATGGGCGGCTAAACTCAGTAGTGCATTTGGTGCTTTGCGCCCGGAGGCAGTGTATTGATATTATTCCTCCTAACAAAGGCAAGACAATCCACGGCATTTGAAATTCTGTCTTAGATCCCCTCAAAAGTGCAAACTTTTGGGATTAACGCACCAGATTCTAAAGTCTATTTCCCATTTCCAGAAGGATAGGGGAAGAAAATAAAGTCGGCCACGTCGCGGGGAACCCCGGAGGGTGGGAAAGTTGTCCAGTTTTCACATGTTGAGCATTACATAGTGACCACTAAAAGCGACCGATATTCTGTTGAACTTATGTTATACACTTAAAACTTCAACTTGGCGAACTCCTGGTGGAAAAATGGGATCAGTCAGCTAAGACAAAGCCTTCCCAAGTAGTGAAAGCTGAGGGGAAATATTCTATGACTTCCCCCCTAAATGAAATGCCCCCTTCTATTTTACCTTTTCAAAAGAACACTTGACGTGTTTTTGGATGCCTAAAATCCGGCCAACTTGTTTTTACGCCGCTGCGTCATCAATGCCCACAAATAAAAAATAAACGGTGCTCCGTTAGATAAAAGACACTATGAGTAAGCTTCGTCGTTAGTATTAAGAGTCCTTCATTAAAAAAGACAGATTAATAGTAATCGATAACAAAATAAAGCAGTTTAGTAAACTACCTTAATAATAAATATCGGATTCTTAGAGAGAGTGAATTGTGTGTGTTGAAGTGAAGAAATGAGTACAGCGTGACGTCATCACGGCGTCATTAGAAAGATATGTCAATGATATATTGATCATATTTTATTTCACTGCCGAATTAAAATATCTACAAAATTATCAAAAAATCGAAAAATAACAGATACGGAATTAAATACAAGTCACTGATTGCAAAGAAACAACTTATTACAAATTAGTATATACTATAAAATACTGATTGCCAAACTTACTTAAAAATAATAATTAAGAGAGAAAAAAATCCGTATTAGTATGAAATATCGATGGTGATAATAAAGGTTATAATATAAATGTAATGTACCAGAATATAACATGCTGACTGAGGCTTTTGTATCCAAATTAAATTTTTTGAAATCATGATGACGCTTGTCACAAGGCAACTGGCTACACCTTTATAAAAAATATCTTCAGTTTTTACGGAAAAAACCTACCATAATCAATCATAAATTCTGTATTTATTCAGTTATCATTAAAAATTATGTTTTGCCAAACATTTGATTGTTTATCTCATATCAGTAAGTGTGGTTTTTTTTTCATTGTTTTTTTTCTTTGAGAAAAGAAAAATAGCTATGTTATGATGTCATCACACTTCAAAACTATACCATTACCTTTACTTCCTCAAACAAAGAGTTTTTCAATTCTGTCTCATTAATATTTGTGTTTTTGAATCAAAACAATAACATTTGATTGGTCGTGTTAGGGCAAGTTTTGTGGACGCTTTATGCCGTGTCTTCAGATTAGGCGTCCTTTTTATCAGCATGCTTTTTACATGTGCTAACGTATTACCATACCAGAATACTCCAGCAAAAAAATATAACTATTTTAAAACTTTACTTCATACCCAAAAATTTTTAAGCTAAAAATTTAGGGTGAATCTTTAAGGAGATTATTTTCTATATTTTTTCTCGTCAACAAATTTTATTTTGAAGTTGGCGGTAAAATCCCATAGATGACGTCATTAGTTACGCACTGCCGCGAAAAGACAACCAATCAAAATCCTCATAAGAACGATATAAGAATGAGGAGTTTTACTTTTGGACCAATCAGAATCGCGGATAGTTTGCTATAAAATCTTTCCATTGCCGGGTTGCCCACCATAACTCGTATAATTTTTTTTCTGATTAGATTTCAAACAAAAAACCTTTATTGTCAACTGAATATTCGTGCTTTGGGTACAAGAGAAAGTGTGAAGTATTCATCAACACAGCTGAGTGGTATAACAGATCTAAACGAGTGAATTTAGAGGTAAGAAACACTGGAATACCTAAGGAGAAAGCCAGCTTCTTCACAGAAATATTATCGACTCGTACGATTGTTTATCCTCAGAATTTGTTTTTCTTTTTCCTAAGGTTTTTTAACTTGTCGATTATGAATTATTTTTGAAAGATCAGCTTGATTTGTTCAAAGTTTCTCTAAAGATTTCCATTAAGACAGTCTCGTTAACGATATGAACCACAGTTAAGCTTATTGACTTGTAGCTTTAAAATTTGAAATCAACGAACTTGCAAATCGATGATCGCAAATTATATCAATATTTTTCCCCTTGATTTTACTTCCACGTATTTGTATTTCTTCTATTCTCTGTTAGAGGTATAATACGCAGCATAGTTTCTGTTTTTTAACTTGAAGATCGGCCAAAAGAGTCTCGAGGTTTTGGTCGTGGTTTATAACAAACATTATGAGAGGTTTCGCTCTCCAACTGAAAAGCTCTTGACTCTGTTTTTCCTTAAGTTATATAACTTGTTGAGGACTTAGTGATTTCCTCATGTTTAAGCTAAAGGAGACTCGACTTCCTGAGAAGAGCAAAGTGTTCTTTTTTCGATTCATCTTTAAGATCTTTTGGGCTTTTTACAGCTGTTAGGCTAGACTTGTTACAGGTACATTGACAACGCTACGCCTTGATACTTTAAATTGCCTCGTGGACGTTCATTGTTGTCGTTTTTCTGCCTTTCAATACTTGGTTTTATCAGTTTTCACCCCTAATTTTGACCACGTATCCAATTTTTAACTTCCCATAAATAATATTTTCCTTTGCTCTAGAAAGTATTAACGGGTGATCTTCATCGACTATCATACCTATTTGCCTTCACATTAGACTAATACTCCTATTGGTGATCGGCCTTAGTAATCTTAGCAGTTTTTAGTAAACTCCTTAAAAAGAAAATTCCAGAAAAGAAAATAACATTGATAAATACAAAAGAAAATGTATATTTTGAATATTTTCATATTTTCATGAAGTGAAGTTGTTGGAAGATTAGGACAGAAAAAATATTTTTGATGTAATGACCTTTCACTCCAAACAAATCCAAAAAGGAAATGTCAAAGCAACGGCACACATGTAAATACGCGTGGATAATTTGTTTATTCAACGGTTTTGTTTTAATGTTGGCCAGGTAAAGGTAACAGCTTTTATTGTCTGGCAAACTTGTGAGCACGTTTGTACCTGCAACATCTTCCCCCACTTTGAAGGTGTCACATGACGAATTGTTCGCCCAACCACATGACTTTCTACAAAGAATCTTGGAATATTGTAATATTATGTGCTATAAACAGAGTCTCTGTGCTATAGATATACTTCTAGCTTGAATTATTTTTAGCACAAATTTATAATTTCCCATCTTAGGTTTTACCATAACCTGTTGTGTAGGAAAATTGATGAGTTTGTTACTTTAGTTGAACACAAAGAAATCATTTGTTTACTGGCTTCTTTCTTTCAGTTTAACACTAAACCGTCTTGTATTTTATCCAATAGGAATTGGTTTTCAATATTTACTTGGCATTAGGCAGCGTTTTTGCTTTTTCCTTGGCAGAGCTTTGTATGTTGGATTGTATTTTTGATTATTTACAACAAAAGGTTCTTCGTATTTATACCTACCATAACTCTCTACTCTGTAAACATAACATTTGATTTATCCAAAAATGTTTCTATTTACAAACTCAAGGAATCAAAAACCTGAAATACGTTATGTAATTCTATCACAAAGAATTTTGGTAAAAAGAAACAGTGCTAATAGGATTACGAGTAATACAGATTGGTTTTTGTCTTAAGTTGGCAATGCTTTCCTTACACTGTTGTTAAAATAGGGGAAACCCCTGCTTTTTGATGAGCTTGCATGACAGATCCTTAAAATAAACTTGACTCATTTCACATGAATGATTCTCACTGTTAAGAAACCCAACATATCAGAGTTTTTTGGGTTTTTGCTTGCTAACGTACATGTAGAATTATATTTACAGACTTTGGGAATTCCACACGCACATAATTCAACACCATTTCCTCTATATTACAAAGTTTTTTCCCCTAGTTGACAAGGTGGAACTTTTACAAGTGGATATATTGAACTTCTGTATTTATACATATATATATATATATGTGAGGGAATGTATGTTGATGAAGTTGTTATTCTATTTCCAGATATTTTAGAATGGCTCCAGGAGGAGTGACCCCAAGCGACAAGAAAAATGAAGAGGAAAAACCTTCTGGAAGCAATGTACGACCTGAATATAACAGAACAGTAAGCGTAGAAGATGTTTCTGGCCAAGCACCAGACATCGTCAAGTCCTTTTTGGCTACGTGCTTTGAAAAGGATGGTCTAAAGGTGCCTGAAGAATTAACTGCAGAACAACACAAAGTGAATAAACAAGTAGCCAACGTGTTAAGAGAGATTGGAGACAGTTTGAACCAACATCCTACCCTAAACACATTAATAGATGAGATTCATGTTACAAAGGACACTGCTTTTGATACTTTCCTAAGTGTTGCAATGCAGATCTTCCAGGATGGGAAAGTAAACTGGGGACGTGTTGTCACCCTTTTCTACTTTGGATACAAACTTGCTATCCAAGTGTTAACACAAATACCACTCATTAAGATGATAATTGAGTGGGTTGTCAAGTTTATAAAGGAAAAGCTTGTTCAATGGATAGCTGAACAAGGAGGATGGGTAAGTACCGTAGTCAACTCTTGGGAGTGGGGTAAGCAATAACCTCTCAGGGGTGAAGTAAGTATTTAACTCTCAGGGGTAGTGTAAGTAACCAACTCTCAGTATGGAAAGTTTATGATGAATTATAAATGTATTTTGAATTATAAGATTGCATTGTATTTTTTGAAAGCTGTCTTTGAATTCTAAGCATACAAAATAGGCAGTCTCACATTGCTTCCTGTTTTAATTTATTATTTGTTTTAACAATCACAATTATTATTTCTTTTATAGGAAGCAATAATGGACTACTTCAAGACGTTGAAGAACCGGCATGAACTGGAATTCAAGTTTGTAGTTGCCACATGTGTAACTGTTATCACGCTGGTCTATTTATGGAACAGAAGATAAAGTGATCTGCAGACAGTCATGCATCCATCATGTCAGTACAGCCCATCCTCCTTTTCTTAAAATTTCCTTTAACATTCCTTCGACTTTCATTTAATGTCAGAATAATCAAAAACAAAGCTTATTCACCAGAAAAACAGATAACAACTTTTTAAATTGCCATCAAAATTCTCAAGATTTGAGAAAAAAGAATCTAGAAAAGCATAAGATTATGTTCTATGGTTTTGTTATTATTTCACAGAAAGTGTTCATGTATGAACAGATCTATTAATAGATCAAGTATTTAGTATGATCAGCATTTTAATTTCACATTTTTGTTATGACTGAAGTAAAATTATTAAATTTAACACAGATTCTTTTTGGTGAAAATGGATTTTATTTAGCTATCTTTCACACTTTGTTTTTTTATTTTTGGGGTTGTTTTACAAAATAATTTGATTTTGTAGAGAAAATATTGTATGCAGTCAGAATATCTTTATTTCTGGTTATAAACTTTGTTAGAGTTTGGATTTAAATATTGTCATTGTTAATTTATTAATTGATATGAATCTAGGTAGTTCTTGGAACAGTTTTAGTTAAGTTTAAGATCTGGTATAGTACACTTAGCTTAGTGACTACTCTCAACCATATCATAAAACAGATTAAGAATATAAGCCATTGGAATGCTTGAATTGTTTTGCATGTCATTTAGTTTTGTTACCAAGACCCCACAAAAGTAGACCTATAAGTTTTAACTCAATGAGAGTGATGCTATAGCTACAGTAATAGAGGGATTTTACATAAGCCATGAAACAAAAACAAATTATTAGCAAAAACCAAAGAAAATCTATCCTTTATAGACTCCTTGCATGTGACATCAAAGCAGCTCAATTTGGAAGACAAAACAAAAGAATTTCAAACCCATGGGAATTGGAAACCTATCGTTATATCCTCCAAATTGAGCTGCATTCCGATGGGCTGCCAGGGATCTATTAGTCTACAATTTCACGGGTTAGGTAAAACCTCTCTAATTTGCAATTCTTTTTATCCAAAACTGCACTACGTTCATAGATTAAGGGGAAAAGCCATAATCACAGAAACAATACAAATTTCTGACAAAGCCAGGGCTAAAAATAATGGCTGGCAAAAACAGTGTCTTGCCAGACATGGAACTTGTCCTATCAAATCTTTGTGCTGCCACTATTTTGAGCAGTAACGTTAAGCCAGCAACAAAGCATATCAAGCTAAAACTCTGTCATCATGATAGCTTACTGACCAGTCAGTTTTAAATGTAGCCAAATGATATTACTGGTAATTCTCTTAATTATTGGTGTTTAAGAAACGAGAAACACAGAATTTCAGCAAACTTATGAATACAGAAAATAATTGTATTTAGTAAAAATAGGCAGGTGATTATAGAAAATCTCACTTGCTGATTGGTCAAGAAACTCACACTATCACACAATAATCACCTCGAGCAAAAATCCAAAATGGCAGCCAGCCGCTTAATTGTTGCTGTTACCGGGAAAAAAATGCCTTTTATCTTCTTTTTTTTTGAAAGAATCACCTGTGTATTTATGCTAAAACAATTATTTGCCTCAGGCTCAATGTAGATTATTGGGGAATATTTACCTCACATCTCGGTAAATATTCCCCGATATTCACTTCGCCTTTGGTGAATAATTGTTAAATAATGATATACACTGTCAGCTTTGCTACCTTGAGAAAACAAAATGTCGTGCAACTATTGCATTGAAAATGATTTTTTTTGTGTATTGACAATGTAAATTAAAAATTGATATAAAATAAGAATAAATGTTAAAAAATAATGATTAATGACAATATTGTGATTCAGATCACATAATCAAATCAGATAATATCCATGATAGATTGATGAGAATAGACCAGTAATGTTGACATTAATAATAAGACCAAGTCTGTACTTTTAGACCTTGCATGTAAAACTGGTTTACTGTTAAAGATCTATCGACCAATTGCCTCAATGTGCTGCCACGCTGCATACTTATTAGAAAAATGCCTAAAAATCAGCATGGCTTAGGATTAATGCAAGGTGCAACAGTCGTTGGTCAACATTCATGTAGATAGACCATATACCTTGCATATACCAATTCATATTTGTCAATGACTGGACAATATCAATAAGATGGTAGGAAGAAATGGTTGTACAGAGGTAGTTTATTATAAATATTTTGTACATTTTCGTACAGATTTATCATCTTTTTTGATTGCTATATTTGGTTACTTGTATGTATGCTTGTGCAATTTGTTGCTATGGTTACAAGATAATAAAGAATTCTTTTATGCAACTTTCTCTTTTCCTTTACTTTATTTTTAACTTGTGGATACACGAAGTGTAGAAACGAGTTGTTGTGAGGGGTCTGAATATGCAAATGTGTCACTCGCTAAGATGTTAGCAGATTGATAATTAAACGTTTATCTGTCATCTTACGTCATCTGATTACAAACGTTACATGATACTTCTCGTAATTACAAAACTTTTATACACTATAGACTACATGGGTTATTTATATGAGGAAATGAAGCGTGGGATATTTCTAGCACTGTGGACCCACTGAGCATTTGCATACTCCCACAAAGTTTTCTCTTTGGAATATTTATATTTAAAGAATCAAGGAAAGATGCAAGTTGATGTAAAAATATACAATTAACGCCTGAACTGAAGTGTCCTTGAATTTTTATTTAGAAAGGATTAAGGCTTTTGCACAATAAAACAGCTCATGCTCTTGCACAATAAAACAGTTTCCTCTTTCACTCAGTAATAAATTCAACACCACCTATCGAGTCAACAAGACAGCACTTGCAGGCTAGCAGACTGTTGAAAATTTAGCACTCACCTTGACCTTCCTGGTACTTGATAGAAGCATTGCTTGAATAGGATTCGCGTATACCTACTTGGAAACTGAGGCATTGTGTGAATAGGACTCTCCTAAACCTGCCAGGAAATAGACTGAGGCATTGCGTGAATAGGACTCACCTAAACCTGCCAGGAAATAGACTGAGGCAGTGCGTGAATAGGACTCACCTAAACCTGCCAGGAAATAGACCGAGGCATTGCGTGAATAGGACTCACCTAAACCTATCTGGAAATAGACTGAGGCATTGCGTGAATAGGACTCACCTAAACCTACCAGGAAATAGACGGAGGCATTAGGTGAATAGGACTCACCTAAACCTGCCAGGAAATAGACTGAGGCATTGCGTGAATAGGACTCGCCTAAACCTACCTGGAAATAGACTGAGGCATTGTGTGAATAGGACTCACCTAAACCTACCAGGAAATAGACTGCTCAAGGCATTAGGATAATAGAAGCTTTGCACCCTCATTAATGACAGCCATGACAGGAGGCACAAGTAGTCTTTTCCCCTTAAGTGACTGAATTCCTTCTCATGTCAATCAGATAAGACCAGCCTATCGTTCTTGCCTCCTGTCATGGCTACCATCACGTGATGGTGCAAGGTCTACTATAGGACTTACCTACATCTAACATTCCCCGACCTCTCTCCCGCCCTGGTTAGAAAGGCATAAAAATATTACACTACAAACACAGTTAATGATATCTTTATTTGTACAGTATTACTTATATATTGATATGTACATAGAGTGATTTTATTTAGCCAACCAAAATAATAATGATAATGTTCAATGTTTAATAATCAAATAAAGAAAAATGGCAGATATAGTGTATCTATTTCACAGGTTAATTAAATAACATCACTCTAATAGTTTAATAGTTGTATTATAAGTACTCAGTGTCTATGTTCCTACTTCTCTTGTTATTGTTAATGGGTAATAATTGGATTCCAATCAAAATAATGTTAGACTTTGCAAAAACCTGTTATCTCACAACACTAGACTCACCTTTAGCATCAGGTTTACTGCTAACCGCTAGGGATAAGGCCCAGAAACACACCCGTAAATACTGCAATGAAAAAGGTCCGTTCTGGATGCAGCATATTTTTGTTTTTGTTTTCATTCATCAAAGTTAGGTTGGTATGAGTTTATAGTAATAATTATTGTTTGACAGAAGCTAAAAGAACCCCCAAAATCTAAAAGTTATGGATGATGAAAAGTACTCTAAAGAGTGTAACTTAAAAGTTGGTCATACAGTAATTTAAAAGGAAGGGTCAGACAGCTTGAGGGTTAATGTGATAAGAAGTGATGGAGAGTCCAAGACAATAAACATGCCTGATATATCAATGCAAGCATTAATCAGTACATGAATGGCATGAATTTCCAACAGGAAAAAAGTTTTTGAGGTATATTTGATTGGTAGATAGGACAGTTGAGTTAAATACTGCAGTTCACCTGCCAATATCTGCAACCACCTTAAGGCACTCAGGAAACCATGATGATACAAAGATACCTATCTTTGTTTCCATGACAATAGCAGCCTTCATGGGACCTCAATCAATCATTAAAAAGAATTCTGCCACTAACTTGAAACACTCAGAAACTATGGCAACATGAAGAAATACACAGAACTTTGTGTCCATGACAACAGCTGGCCAGATGGAACCTTTTCCAAACATCTTGCAGAGTACATTGTAGATTGTACGATGGAGTGGCAGAACAGAAGTGTTACTTTGTAATATAATTATAGTCTTTAATAATATTATCCAATAAAGCATTTTATTTAATGATGTACTGATATTTTGGAGAGTAAAGGCTTCACACGTACATTTCTTGATAATCCTAGTCGTAGAGTACCAGATGACTGGATTTTGACGCTCCCAAGTCCTGTTCCTGGACTCTTGCGGAGACTTGATGAAGTTAAGAAATTTGTAGATGATGATGATGAAGATAAAATGTTGGGTTTTGCAACAGATACTAAGAAATAAAAATATGAAGAACCTAAGGTTAAAAAATGAAAAGGCTACTTTTCTTGGGTATATCATGAAGGTTTCTGTGGACATTTTATAGCACAATTTGTTGTTACTTTCTCTGGTAATTACCTTTGTTCATGGCATCAATATGTAAAATACTTTTATGATTTATGAAATATTTTAAGATACTATGTGTACTTTGATTTCTCTGTTACGCCCTTGGTTTATCTACAGTATGACTTTTCACTTACTCTGCAGCTACCAGCAAGTTTATTTCACAATATATAGATATACACACTAATTTATATCCCGATTTATATGTAAAACTCAACATCTATAAGTATAGGTACAGAAAACATTTAGAGAAGAGTGTAGTGAGACTCCCTGGTGGCAGATAACACTAGAAAAACTCCACTGGAACCCCACTGTTTTGTATTAATGAAGTCCTCTTGATAAAGAGAACAACAGAACATTCTCCCCTTCAGGGCTACACTGGACTTGATTGCTCTCTGCAGGAGGCATGTATATAAGAGAGTGGGCTTCACATTGTCAAAATATTCCTTCATTTAAATTTACATTTAAAGTGATTTGAGAACTGGTATTTAGAAACACTTGTTTTGGTTTATTCTAAAGTATTTTCTGTGAACAATAATTTGCATTGTTTGATGGAAATATTTATCAAGAAAGATGTAGTTGTAATTATTTTCTTTAAAAGACTAACATAATAAAGTTTAGTTTAATAAATGTAAAATATTATTGTTATTCAGTTTAGTTTTACCTTTTTTCATTCTGCTTGTTTTCAGGTCCAAGTCAGAAGTAACCTGAAAGCAGATTACAAAAATATTCCCTTGAGTTTTAAGAAAAATTCTAGATTTCTTCATGATCATCAGTTCTGATTCTCATAGAATACTGTTGTATTAAAGGTTACACAAAAATGACAGGCACTTTCATCGTTGATATTTTCCTTTTTTCCATTTAACATTTATTTCAAAACATTTCTGCTTTTTATTTTTATTTCTTAAGCATTGAGTATATTTATTCTTAGAGTATTGTGTTTTATTATTAGCAATAATACTTTTATTTATTGTGATCAATATGCAGAGAATACCCAGGAAAATAATTATTTAAAGGGTTAATACCGTGTCAAAGTTGGTTAATATGGTGTCTTAGTTTAAATATGAAAGGCATGGTAGAGTGCTAGCACTAAACCTGTGAAACAAATACTAATTTTTCATACTAAATAGTGATAATCAAACAATAAGAAACAAAGGATTCTGTATGTATTAATACTTGTTAGTACTAAATATTATTCACAGGTTTAGTGTATGCACTCTAGCACAGTGTCTTCCACTCTTAATATTATTGCTGGAATTAAAATTTTTATTTGCTTAATTTTATTGTTTTTATTCGAACATTACTTGAAATTTTCTAAAATATACAGTCATGTCCTTCCTGATAGAGGGAATTGAGTAACAAATTCTGCTCTTTAATTATCTGTGCCCTACTGTAGCCCAGAGGTTGCTTCAGGGTTTGATCTGTGAGTTAGCGATACCCTGACTTAGATCAGCCCAGAGTTTGTTTCAGGGTTAAATCTGTGAGTTAGCTGTGCCCAGACTTAGATCTGCCCAGAGGTTGTTTCAGGGTTCTATCTGTGATATAGCAGTGCCCTAACTTAGATATGCCTTAGAGGTTGTTTCAGGGTTTGATATTTGAGTTAGCCGTACCCTGACTTGCATCAGCCCAGAGGTTGTTTCAAGGTTCGATACAATCAAGTGGAAGGGTATCTAACATTATTACATGTTAACCTTGGATAAAAAAAACATGTTGAGATACTTACTTTGGGGTGAATTAGAGGCTGATCCAGAATCGGCAGATGAAATTGACTTTATACTACTGCCCTTGGAGGAATCTGTGTTCCTTTTCCTAGCTTGACTTTTAAGCATCTTTATTGGCGTCACTAACAGATAACAAAAATACATGTCACTTTATTTTGTGGAGGGAGAAGAAAACATGAATCAAGAGAGAGACCCAAAGATCTCTGCTCACATGTGATGTTAATTCCAGGCATCTAACCCAACACCCCAGAGGTGAGAGGCTAGAGCACTAAGTTGGCAAAAGGGATGCCTGCTAATCAAGAGGTCCATAGTTTGATTCCCCAGGACCTGATACACTCATTTGGACTTCTCTGTGATCCATGTAGCTTTAGCTTTGAATGTTCTTAAAACAGAGCAACAATGGAGAGAGGGGGTATAGTGCATACCATCAGCTTCCTGGAAGACCAGCTACTAGTTGATAGAGGAACACTTACATTCAATAAGGCCTTCACCTTGATTACCACATGAACAAATACATCTATTTATAGCATAAATTTGACAAACCTGTGACACTGGTTCTTGGCTTAATCCCTACTTTAGAAGGCGATGAATGTACTGGTTCTGGTCCTTTGGTTTTCTTATTCTTAGTTTTCTTTTTCTTTTCTTTTTCTTTATCAAAATCACTGTCCTCATCATTAAGATCATCACTTGCTTCAGCTTCAATGTCATCAGTGAAATCTTCATCATCATCACCATCGCCTTCCTTATCATCCTCATCTACAATACAATACAACCTTTATTTACTCATAGGGAAAAGAATAATACATAAAAACATTTAGTGCTAGAAATCTATTTACAATCATGCAGGATATATATATTTACAAAGAAAAAAATAGATACTAGAATAAGTGTTTGAGCCTGAGGGTTAAATTTTACCATAAGTTTCCTAGTTAACCCGAAAAAATAGTACAACATACGAATTCCTAGTTAAAGCTCAAAATTCCAGTTCGGAGTTCTCTGTTGCTCAGGATTAGCCTCTGTGATATGTAGAATATTTATGTGCTCCAGTTAAAGTCCATTGAATTTCATAGTGCTTGTATTATTGAAGTCGTACATTCTTTAATTTTACTGTTGGTATTTGTAAATATTTAGTCACTGGTCTATTATCAGGCATTGTCATCATCACCACCATTACATGCATCATCATCATGGTGACAACGATAGGTTGTGCTGTTATGGCACTGTCTCTTACAATCCTTTAGTTCAAGCCTTGGGTCTCAGGCACATTTCCTTCTTACTATAAATGTGAGTTTACTCATGTTTGATGTGACATTCTCTCCCTTACCATCAGGGTCTTTCTCTGGGTTCTCTGGTTTTCCTCCCTCCATAAAAACGAACATGATAGGTATAGTTATGTGTCGTAAATAGTGAATGTAGTGGTAGTTCATGTGGGGAGAATTACATTTTTTATCATAACCAACATTACCATCATAACGAATTACAGTCAACTTGCCCACAGCCCAACTTATAAAGTCACGTCACAGACATCATCATGGATTTCCACTACTGACATCTACATTACCACCTCCATCATCATAGTCATGCACTACTACGATAATTATTAACAACAAGAATCTCTCTTAACAAGAATCATTTCCTACCACTTTTATCTTCCTCTTGTTCTGTGCTACTTGGAGTTTTGGAATCCAGTTCTTCTTGATTCTTGCTCATAGAAGCAGCCACTTCTTCATGTGACATTCCCTTTACTACCTCCCTATCTTCATTCTCCTTGTTTGTACTATCATTATCTGGTTTTGCTTCGTCACTTGATTGAGATTCTTTTTTAGATGCTTCAATCGCTGCTTCTAGCTCTCTTTGATACATCTTCTCTTCAAGTGAAAGTCTGTTGACAAAACAATGCAGAAATTCATAGCTATTTTGTACAGAACGTTACACCTTTCACTTTGATCATTACGTTGTGGAAAATAGAGAAGGTTAGCAAATGATGTGTGCAATCATAAAGCATGCACTGTTCGGCAGAACATGAGGGAAACGTGATTAATCAATTACTCAAATACCAACCTTTGCTTTCTTGTAGATGATGGTTTTTCCTTTGCTATCTTTTCATCTGGTTTAGCTTTTGTCTTTGATTTGGTAGCTGTCTTGGGTTTCTTGTTAGGCGGAGGACCACTGGGAGAATCCTGGAAGTCATCTGAAAAGGATGACCAAAAATGGACCCACTTAAAAATCATCTTATAAGTTGGTTATCTTGCTGCCATAACATTCAGGGCTAAAATAATCCAGACATCATAACCACCCAGAACCGATCAGTCAATGTATATTATATTATATTATATACATGTACTGCTGTAATGTGTATATACCAGGGTGTATAACATTGTGGATAATATGTCTCTATGTAGATCAATTGAAAGTTACAAAACAATAGCTCTTTTTCTCATATAAAAACCTTCTAGACACAAACATACCGTCACTGTTATCAGGAGAATCAGTCAGACTGTAGTCAACTTGCTTTTTTGCCCTAAAAATATTATGATAAACATAGTAAGTGTAGAATACATTTAATTCAAATAACACTAATATTAAATTATTATTGTTATTTTCAGTTGAGCTCATATTGAACCTTGAAACATTACCTGTACATGTACATTTATTGCTGGTTGTGGATGAAGGAAAACGAGAGAACACAGAATAAAACCCTTGAATCAAGGGTAGACTGGGAGCAGTTCCTGTATATTACTTGGCCAAGCGAGGATTAGTATAGCTAGTCCAGTGTCCCCTCAATCCCTACACCCCTCCCCTGGGGATAATAGGCTAGGTAATCATCCTTGCCTAGCCAAATCAACCAAAACAAACACAAAACAGTGACCAAGTGAAATACAGTCACTCCCCACACCCCTCACCTGGGGATAATAGACTATCTAACTAATCCTTGCTCAGCCGAACCAGACTGTAACCAAGGGACTGCTTGCATGAGGGAGTCCTGACAATGTCTGCTCCTGTATGATGCAGAGTACAGGAATCCAATGCGAAACCTCAAAGGGAAGAGGTGAATATTTGAAGGTTGCTGTCAATTTGTACTGTACATATTATACCATAATGTTTCAGACTATTGACTCACTTCTGTCACCATGACAGTCAGATTTACTGAGAAACTTATTCTATATCAAACAATGCATTGATGGAAGCAAATGGTGCATAGAAAAAGGACCTTAGTTATACAATCTTGACCATCAGCGGCTTCATTCAAAGTGAAATAATTTCAATATTTGTGTAAATTTCAATGAAGACTCAAACCGGACAAAGTTGACTGTGAAAAGACTAAAAAGCCTTTGATATTATAAACCATAAGTACCGATGAACACATATATCATTTCAAACAAAATATTGAAGTGAATACGCAAGGGTTTCATAGGATTTTATAGTTATTTAACGAACAGTTCTTAGCGAAAATATTATGAACAAAAGCCAGCTTGGTTTCTGTTTATTTGTTTTTGTTGAATAAACCAGACACAAAACCACAGCGTTTATTCACTTACCTTGCAGACCTGCGCGCAGCAGACATCCTTATATTCCATAAAACGTTCCTGTCTGATTATTATTTATTGAAAATGAAGAATTTTAGTTGAATTTCAGGGTCAAATTTTCACTTTGTGGATGATTTTCTCTTCTGATCGAAGATCGCGCCAAAATAAAACAAGATGATTATTCATGGACAGCGGATATGCAGCATATGTCATGCGCAATACATCATGTGAGCCGCAGTAAGAAAAGCGGTCATTCATATTGAGCATGCGTAGTACAAATGTCCGCCATTTTGGTTTAGAGGGACATTTCGATAGTCAGAAATATCAACGATTTCTAAGCAATAAAGTTAGTGATTTTTAGTGAAAAACGGAGTTAAGGGACTGCAAGAGAGATGGTTCAGCTGGGGCTTCGCTTTATCTTACAGAAAGCCATACCTAAACGTGCACATACGGGTATTTATGCAGGGAAAGGTATAATGATGGGTCACGTGGAAACTTTCTCTGGTAAAAAGTGAGTATTAAAGCCTAACCTCTTGACTAATACTTTATTTATTCTACCTATTAATGTGGAGTACATTCAAAAGATTGCCACCTGTTCGTAAGGGCTCCCTCCATCCTTATCACCATCCCCCACCCCTCCCCCTTGTCCAGACATTATGCTCCTTCAACATCTGGGCTTACTAAAGTTTTGATTGGTAGAGGGAGTGAAGTGGTGATCGTAGTGATTAATGGATTAGGATGCTGTCATTAAGTTGTTGCAAATGATTTTTTTAGGGGGGAGGGGGTTCTTACAGTTCTTGCAGTCTACCCCCTCAGCATTGCCTGATATTTTGGGACATATTCCTAATCTTTATGATTATCATACTTATAGGACTAAACGATCTTGGAAGCCAAATGTCCAGCGCAAGAAGTACTATAGTGAAGTACTAGAGAAAACTGTTTCTTACAACTTTACAACACACGCAATGAGATGCATTGATAAAGCTGGTGGTTTTGATAACTACATTCTGAATACCAAGGACTCCAAGCTACATTCAAGAGCAGCTATAGACTTAAAGAAACTCATGAATAAAGTACTGGTATGCAAGAATGAGGGAATGGAAATAGATGAAATAAAAGTCAAGGTTTTCCCACAGCCCAAAGTCAGCTGTCACCAATACATACCAAAGGACTACACTGACAGTTTTTATTTTGATTGGAGAGGTCGAAAACAAATAGTACATTGTTAACTAGCAAATAGAATAATATGTCTGATTAAAACTTGCACACATTTCAAGTATTTCTTGCTGTTTTAAACAAAATGGAATTTTTACCAAGTAATGCTTAAACTTTTAAAGTACAATTTTGGTAATGAATTGCCCTATTTCACTATGACGTCACATCAAAACAATCTATTGTTTAAACACAAAAGATCATGGTTGTCGGAGGGGGTCAAATCAACACAAATTCACTGAAAATTGTTCTAAAATCCTTATCAATCCACGAAGAGAAGTAGAATAGCCAGCAAACTCTAAGAATATTTTTTAGTACATAATATTATGTATTATATCTGAAAACCAGGCCATTTTAGATTAAACTGTTTCACTAGGAGCAAATTTTGTTGAATTTGCTATTGGATTTGGCAATTCTATCCCCTAAATAAACAAGCAGTGACGTCATAGTGAAATAGGACCATTGTGTCCCTGATTTCAAGCTGACGACTTTTGCTTTTCTAAGACATACTAGTTGTATTTCATGCAGCTTTAGACAAAATGATTTTTTTAATACT